ACAGCAAAAACCACTGGGAACATCAGGTTCAGAAGGTTTTAGACTAGAGAATGAGAAAGTCAAGATCTTGTGGGACTTCAGAATTCAGACTGACAGGCACTTGGCCCACAACGCACCTGACATAATAATAGTTGTAAAGAAAACAGTATGGTTCATTGACATTGCAATACCTAGAGATGCACGAATTGAAGATAAACAGCAAGAAAAAATCACAAAATACCGGGACGTGTGTGTTTGTGTGTGTGTGTGTATTCTTCCTAGAATATCCAATCTAATAAATCCATAGAAATGGGAGGAGGAAACAATTCTAAGACCACATAAGCTCTGTCCTCAAGTACCTCTCATGTTTAGCAGAATATGTTATTAAACAAAGTTGTTCTTAATTTTGGTTTTAGGTCCCTTCCTCACTCCAAATATACAAAATAATATGAAAATTACAACTGAGCATAAAAGTAGCCTGGATTAACATTATGTAGTTCTTGTCAAAATTTTAAAAAAGATGCAAATCTAAGATATCCTTAGCATCTCAACTGGAATAAAGGATAGAAAATAGTTTTAGTTCATATCTTAATTTGCTCCAAATAAGTAATTATTGCAATTTCTTCCTTAGAAAAGAAAATGTCAATATCGTTATAGCTTATGATTATTAAATAAATAACTACATAGCTCTATCCAGCCACTCAATAATCACAATTACTGCGTATGAGTTGGGCTGCCATATAAATCTGTTAAATGCATATATACTGTGTAGTACATATATACTTCCATACATGTAAGTGAGTCTGATTCCATGGAAAAGACTACTGCAAAAGGAGTCTAATTAATAAACTACACAAAATTGTATTCCAAATTCCCGTTTAAGGTTCAATGCTTCAATTAGACAAAACTGAGAATCACATATTTTAAGGTTCAATGCTTCAATTAGACAAAACTGAGAATTACATATTTTATGACCACTGATTTAGTGTACCATATTTTTGGGAGTATAGATGCAAAAAAGAGCGTGGAAATGTTGGTTCGTCTTATACCCCCAATTCTGCCATTTTTGGCATCCCGAAGCCCTGCCCCCGCATCCCATTTTTGCAAAAAAATAGGCAAAAAACTGAGGTGTTTTTGCCTTCCCCCAGCCCCCAGAAGCACTCTGTGGGCTTCAGCAGGGCTGAGGGAAGACAAAAATGCAATTTTTGTGAAAAACAGGCCTTTTTTGCAAAAAGAGAGGCGTTTTTGTCTTCCCCCAGCCCCCAGAAACACTCTGCAGGCTTCAGCAGGGCTGGGGAAAGGCAAAAATGCCCCAATTTTTGCCCAAACCGCCCTATTTTCTGCCCATTTTCCCCCAAAACAGGGATGTTTTTGCCTTCCCCCAGTCCTGCTGAAGCCTGCAGAGTGCTCCTGCAGGCTGGGGAGGACCAAAACATTTTTTTCTTACCTCTTCAAAATCTTGGTGCATCTTATACACCGCTGTGACTTATAGTCTGAAAAATACATTAATTAAGGTATTTCCCTAATATTGATTTTGAAACTTTCTTACATTCACAGGAATTTTTTATGATTTAGAAATTATTTTTTCAGGCTTTACCATGTAAGAGCAAGCCAACACAAATAAGCAAAAAAATATTTACCATGTCCCATTCTGCACATATGTAAGGTCCCGCTCTCAATATGACCAACAAGCCAATCTCATCAGCAAGTTTCAGGAAATACTCCAGATCTCTGTCATCTCTGAAGTTATAAACTCCTGGCTCAGGTTCATGAAAGTTCCATGGAACATACCTGCAAATACCCCATATGTTACTATCATGTTTTTAATTGCAATTTACAAAAAGCTCACTAGTTCAACAGCAAGAGAATTGCATTTAAACTTATTGTAATTGCTACCATATTCCTTTTTTGGCAAACAAACACAAAAATAATGATTAAAAAATAATTCTGAAAATATATCAGGCCTTTTTCAGAGAATTTCTTTCACATATGTTACAGGCCTGCGTGTTTTGCATTGTGTTGCTTAGTTCACAAAAGCAAAGCTTTCAATGCACAACACAAGGGGTTTTGTTCTTCAATTGGTTCATCACAGAACTAATGCTGATTTGACCTGATTGGCCCAAAGTCACCAATGCTTCCCTGCCTAATGAAGAACAAGAAGGTCTTCCTACTCAAGATTTGGTAACTTAACCATCCCACCACACAGTCTTTCATATATATTGAATACTGCTATTATTAACTACGGGTAATGTACAGATGATCATCTTTTAAATAATTTATTTTTACTCAGAATGTTAAAATAGAAACTTTAAGAAATGAAAAACAAATACAAAAATAAAGCAAAAATAAAGACAAAAAAAGAAAATGTGCATAAAAAGAAAAAAACAGACATACACATAAATTGTCTCCCCTAATTGAATACCTATCAATATATTTCAAGAATAATAGTTACCTTCCCAGCAAAACAGGCACACTATTTACGAACTTCTACAATAAGGTGACCAGATTTTCAGATTGGAAAAGAGGGACACCCTTGAC